AAAGACAATAGCTACTGCGGTGTAGAAACGAACTCACAGCAAAAAAGGGAATAATCTGTGACAACAAATAGTAAAAGGGAGAAAGGAAAAGGACTGAACTTGCACTGGAGGATGAAGATGCAATCAGGAGAAAAAGAACTACTATATATATGAAACAGTACATATGGGGGGTGGGGGGGAACTCCAGAACTGGGACACATAAAATAAAAAAAAAAGAGACAGAGGGAAAAAAATCATAGAATTCCACTAAACTAAAATAACAGACAGAAACACAGGGAAAAGAAACAATGCAGACAAATAGCTACCAGGAAATAAAAGTAAAAATGGCCACAGGAAATCCTCACATCACACTCCCTGACTTCAAATTATACTACAAAGCTACAATAATCAAAACAGTATGCTACTGGTAGAAAAAAAAGCTTTTTATTATTTTTTTTAATTTTAAAATGACATGTTGTAGAGAAGGACTCTAAACAGTCAATTAGACTGCAATAACACAACAAAATTAACTCAAAATAGATCAAATATAAGACCTGAAACAATAAAATATGTAGAAGAAAACAGAGGCACTAAACCAATGGACATTGGTTTCAGAGAGGATTTTATAAATTTGACCCCAAAGACGAGGAAGTAAAAGCAAAAATGAATGGGACTATATTAAACTAAAAAGCTTCTACACAGAAAAAAAAAGCCATTAACAAAACAAAAAGGCAAGCAACTAAATGGGAGAAGATAATTTGCAAACAACACATCCAAAATACATAAAGAACTCATACAACAAAACACAATTTAATTAAAAAATGGACAGAGGACCTGAACAGACACTTTCCCTAAGAAGACATACAAAGCCCAAAAATATATAAAAAGATGCTGAACTTCACTAGCTGTAAGGGAAATGCTAATCAAAGCCTCAATGAGATACCATCTCACACCTATTAGAATGCCTATTATCACTACGAAGAAACAAGTGTTGGGAGGATGTGGAGAAAAAGAAACTCATGCACTGCTGGTGGGAATGTAAAATGGTGAAGTCTATGGAATATAGTGTGGAAGTTCCTCAAAAAAATTGACTAGAGCTATCAGATGACCCAGCAATCCCTCTCTGGATGTCTACCCCCTGAAATTGATATTTATTTGTAAAGATATACATACCCCCAATGTTTATTGCAGCATTATTCATGATAGCTAAGACATGGAAACAACCTAAGTGTCCTTTGATGGATGAATGGATAAAGATGTGCTACATATATGCAATGGAATATTACTCAGCCACAAGAATAGATGAAATACTGCCATTCATGACAACATGGATGGATCTTGAGAGTATCACGCTAAGCGAATAAGTCAGACAGAAGAGGACAAAACCCAAATGATTTCACTCATATGTGGGATATAAAACAGAAAGCAACAAACAACCAAACAGAACAAACGAACTCACAAAGACAAAAGGGCGGTTACTGGAGAGGAAGAGGGGTGAGAGGAAGAGGGTAAAGGGAGTCAAGTATACGGTGATGGAAGGAGACCAGACTTGGGGTGGTGAGCACACAATGCAATATACAGATGAGGTATTATAAAATTGTACACATGAAAGTAATATAATGTTATTAACCAAATAAATTGGTTAATAAATTTAACCAATAAATTTAATTAAATCCAATAAATTTAATTTTAAAAAACTGTAACTATATGTGATGATGGCTGTTAACTAGACTTACTAGGATGATCATTTTGCTATATATACAAACATCAAATCATACTGTACACCTAAACTACATTATGCCAATTATAGCTCAATTAACAAAAGATATTTAAGAAAACAAATCATGAGCAATGACAAAATTAAATGAACATTAAAAGTTCATTAAGAAATCACATTATAACATCCAATTTAGTTTAAAGATTGGGGAGATTTCTTTTTTTTTAAATAGCACCTCTAAGCCAACAGCATAAAAGTCCAATGGGCAAATGAAAGCACTTTTCAGACTATCATCATATCATGAAAGGTTGTCATGTAGTCCCCAGGACTATATGTAGGTATGTAATTATATACAAAAAGAGAGCTATAAACCTCTTGTCAAGTTTACACAGTATGTACCTGGGAAAGATCATTTAAGGATTTCCATGTTTATCAAAATAAATTCAAAATAGAAATTCAATTTGCTAAAAACCCTCTTTCCTCCATGTCCTTTTTTCCATTCTAATTGGAATGTCATAGTAAAAAAAAAAAATTTTTTTAATTTAAAAGCCATCTTACATGGCAATGGAATTCTGTGGCATGCTAGTATTGACAAAAACATCGCACAGATCTGCCATCCCTGTACTATGTCAAGCTGTGTTAGAAGGAGATAGAGAACTGAGTAGGGATGAAAGAGTCAAAAAGGAGCATTAAAAAGTTAAACGGTGCAGTCCTGAGCATGTTTAAAGAAAGGCTAAGGATGTGGTATATGTACACAGTGGAATACTATTCAGCCATAAAATAAAATCTTGCCATGTGCAACAACATAAATGGCCCTTGAGGGCATTATACTAAGTGAAAAAAAAAGTCAGAGAAAGACAGATATCATATGATCCCACTTACATGTGGAATCTAAAACAAAAACCAACCAAAAAAAAAAAAAAAAAAACCCAAAAAATAAAACAAAGCTCATAGATACAGAGAACAACATATTGGTGGTAACCAGAGGTGGGGGAGGGGTGAAGGGAATCAGTTATAAAATAAGTCATGGAGATGCAATGTACAGCATGGTGGCTATAATTAATACTACTGTATTGCATTTTTGAAAGTTGCTGAGAGTAAATCTTAAAAGTTCTCACAAAGAAAAAAATTCTGTAACTACATATGGTGACAGATGTTAGATATTAAAAGATGTTATTGTGATCATTTTGCAATATACACAAATATCAAATCATTATTTTGTATACCCAAAACTAATATAATGTTGTATGTCAATTACATCTCGGG